GGACAGATGTGAAAATCAAGCCTATAGAGTAGACAGTGACACATCTGAGCGAGAGTTGGGTCAGTTTTTACTTACATTAGGGCTACAAAATCTGCTTTGCAAAAACGCAGGTGACTATAGCAATGTTTAAATTTTCTCTACCTATTTTCTGTGATCTAACAGTCATCCAGATTTTTGCAGTCTCATGCCAGTATCCCTATTTCTACCTTATGTGGGCTACTGTATTAGATTTCCCAAATAATTTTCCTCAGTGAGGAAGAGTGATTACATCATCAACAACAACAACAACCTGGTTTGATATCAGTACAAGACCTTGTATTGGAGGTAATGTAAGGTTGCAGGCTGCTGTTTCCTCTATGGCAGACACTCATCCTCATCACTACTCCATACGTTTTTTCATCCAACAGCAGCTAAATCAGCATTTAGTTCTGCTCTGAGAACTCCCTTGAAGGATAGGCTCCACCTGTTTCCAGGATCAGAAGCGGCAGGCTTCCAATAAATGCCACTTCCTAAGAAACAACAAGGAGAGAAGGCTCTTACATATTTTGCATGTGGCTTCCCATAAGTTAGACTTCTGAACCCTAGCATGACTTGCTAAAATAAAGAATAAATATTCACCCATGAATAAAACTGATTTCAATGGCATTTAGACAGGGCAAAATATAAATATATCACTTTTATTTATCCTATTTTAATACCGATATGACAAGGGTTGTCAGACTTGATGGAACTGCAGTTGTCTGTTATACAGTAGGCTTGCACAGGCAAAGCACGGAGTAAAACTTTGCTTCTGCTTCGCTTGGGCAAGTCTACAGCTGGTTTATTCAGACTAAGTCAGGAACAAGCCCAGTTTTGAGATTCTCAAAAGTGAGTTTTGAGATTCTCTGCAAACCTCTTAAAGTTTAAGAAGATATGTGACTCCATCTAAGTAAAACTTTCAGAATGACATAAATGCTCATATTTGCAATGGAGGTTTCTGGATTTCTGTTCAGTTGCTTTTACATGTAATGACAACATAGCTGATTCTTCTGTTAGTGCTCACTATTGGCTTCTAGTTGTAAGCTACGTATGAGTGCCATGGCAAGAGACTTAGAATCATTGAGTTTGAAGAGACCTTGGAAGTCTTCTAGTCCAAGCAGTGCTGGCAGCAATGGGTCAATATAATCAGACTGCAAAAGGACAGAATGTGGAGATGCCCTCTTAGCCAAACTGAGTGTGCTCACTAGATGACAAAGGAACCACTTCTGGGATTGAAAACATATGTTTGTAATCCAGCACATTCCTGGGCACACACACACACACACTTATGCACAGACATAGTCGGAGTACTTTATGGAAAATAACGGAAGTGCAGGCAAAAGTGAGTCATAAGGAAATAGCCTATTTTACTTTGTTCCCCAAAATACAGTATATGCCATAGCTCTAAATAGATCTGCAATATGAAAGTTGTTGATTTTGTTTCTGAAGAAGCCACACAGAGATGAAGTTGTCAGTAGCTGCCTTATCTACTCGGTCAGGCAAGTTTTTGTACTACTGGTGTTTGTTTTTGTCAGTGCTATTTTGCAGCATAACCCACTTGGGGCCCCGACTGCATGAAAAGGCATGGGGTGGCTGGGTTGTCTAGAAGTGTGTAGTTTTGGGATTATTGCAAAATAATGTTCAGAACAATTTTGGTCAGAGAATAATGAACCTTGTCCCATAACAAAATAGCAAGGATTGTTCTCTTTGAGCCAATTCCTATTGCTTCCAACTTTAATATGGTAGTTTTGCATGTGAACTTCACTTTTCATGACAAGCATCCATTTTATAGGGCTGATTATTAATATTCAAGTCTAAACACAGTTGAGCTTTACTATAGAATTCTTTATTTCTAATCTAAATGAGGTTTAGTTTAAGAATTGAAAAATAAGTACGTAAGCAACACTTTCTGCTTTTAGAAAAATTAAATCATGGGATGGGGTACAGTAAATGAGTGAAGGATGAACATAGCCATAGAATAATTAAATACAATACAGAATTTTTCTTGTAAGGATAAATGAGTGATTTTAAGCAAATTGTAATTCATATCTCCAAGATTAATAATAGTTTGGAACACCATTCTATTTTGAATTATATCCTTTTCCACTAGAAAATTTTTTTAAAAAAATCTTGGTATTTGGGAAAATTGCATACAAAATTACACATATTTCAGCTAGATGATTTACAAATGTATGCTGTATTTGTAAGTAAATAAACATAAAGTCACATACACACAGCTTGTAAATCATGTGTTTCTAACAAATAGAAACAAAACTGTCCATCCATCCATCCATCCTTAATACATTCAATCTACTTTATTCTCCTAATGTACTCAAGTGACATAATTAAGTGAGCGGAAACATTCTTTTGCACATGTGTTTTTGCATGAAATATTCATTCTTCACAATAAACTTCATCCAGTTCATGCTTTTCGGCTATCATCAGCATATCTTAAAATATCATTGTAAATTGAAAACTTCAGCAACATTGGCAACATTTTCTCAGTCAACTCTTGGGGTTTTGTGAGATTTAATTCATCATCTTTATCTAGCCCTATGCCTGAGCCCTATTCTAATCCAATTATTATGATAAATATATCTACAGTAGATGGAGCTTTAGAGTTTATCTAGATAATTTTACTTTGTATCTTTTAAGTAACTGAACAATATACTATTATTATATACTATTGATTTTTTAATCAGAAATATATAAAAATCACTTGCAATTTTATTTGAAAATAATTTTAACCAAAACACCAATGACAGCAAATATGAATGAAAAGTCATATATATAATAAAATAACTATGATCAGGGCAATTAGAATTATAGCTTACAGCATTCTGAATTTTCAACTATTTCCACTGTTTCCATCCCTGTTCCTCATGGCCTTCAAAATGAAACATTTTATTACATTTTTAAACAGTATCTAGAGATAAAGACCTAGACAATCAGAAACATATTATAATAAGAGAAGCCCTTCTCCTTTCAACAGTCCAGAGTTTTCCCTCTCTCCAGATAAAGCCCATCACCTCTAGCCAGTTTAGAATTATGAGAGTTATTCTTCAGCAAATCGAGGGTAGGGAGAGGCTGAACATAGTATTTTAAATATGTACAAAATATTTTACAATTTCCTTGCAAGAGTTTTGCAATAGAGTTTACATTATTTCTGATTTAACTCCAAAAAGGCCCTTAATTTACAACTCTTTAAAGCAGATGCATCTTTTCCAAGGCACCTGCCAGAGGAGCCTAAGAAAAATGATGATGCATTCAGACTCTTCTGTACTTTGAAGCACCTTTTCACAAGGAAGTCTGAAGCACTTCAAAGTCCACATGAACCAACAGCTTCCATCCATGCTGCTTTTGGGGTGTGTATGTGTGTGTGTGTGTAGAGTCTTCATTCATGCATGCTATATTGTCACCACAAAATATTATCTTTTTTCTTCATTGTGAAGAAACACATCCATTCCCTAAATGAACTCTGCTGTCTGTAAAGGAAGCTTCATCTTTGCACCATTCCAATTTATTACATGCCCGAGGACATTTGTGCTATGAGATTGTTAAACAAGAATGAGGAGTGGCAATAAAAACAAAATAATGACTTTCAAACTCCATGTGTAACTTAGTTATGATAACCTTGATTGAAATGACACAACCCTATTTTATCTCAGCACAAAGCATTTATGATCTCATAAGACAACAGTTATCACCCATTCTTCTTCCCTCTTGGAGCAGACCCAGCACTTCACTTACTGAGGTTTATGGGACTTTCTGACAGTGTAACAATGTTTTTTTTATGTAAGTGGCAGGTGAGAATCTGGGATTTCTCACCTTCCATAAATAGAAGCACTTTTTACTAGCACAAAAACTTAATCTATTACAGTACGCCTAGAGGATATACCATGCAAGAAAGTAGGGAAGAACTTAATTGCATCTCAAAGAAGAATAGAACCAAGAACTTATTATTAGATACTGTAATGGGAATGACCTTGAGAGAGGGAGAAGACCTGCAGGCAGGGGAACAGTCAGATAAGTGGCAGCTTAGTCTGCAAAAGGAATGTGGACATGGCGCAAACATCTCAGAAAGGATTCTCCCTAGTTTCTTGTAAAGGTATGTTACATTAGTATTACATAACATGTAGAGGAGCTACATGCCATTCATGAAATCCATGCATACAGTGGAATCATTTAGTCAAATAGGTTATTGACAAAGAGGATATGCTTTCAGTCTGCAAGCAGAAGTTTGAAACAAAAGTTCAGTTCTTCAAATTCTGGGTGTAAGCGAATACAATCAGATTCCTTTTAATATGGTGACAAAAGAGGTAATGGTGGTGGTGGTGCTGATGATGGTACCTACATATAATGAAATAGTATGCAGGGTGAGAAAGCTTGCTTTCTGATATGCTAATTTCACAGTTGATTTGGATGTGAAGACGATCTGGCTACGACATTTGTCACCCCATTGATTGCCAGGATTGATTCAGCTGATCTGGCTGACTCCTAGGTGTCTCCTTCCTCCCTTACTATTCCATATGGTCCTTCCCGAAGCTGCACATTGGTGGAAGAGGATGACATCTCAGATAGAAGGAGTGTACCGATCTTCAGTCAAGAGTATAAGATAGCTACGCTCCCCTACTAGAATTTCCAAACAAGTTCATAGTCGATTTGTTGCAATGATTGGTTGGTTGATAATTAGGAGATATATTTGGTCATGCACTTGATCATGTAAATCTATATCTACAATGTGGCCCCATTTTGAAAATCGATCTAAAGTTTGAAATCTGTATCAATTTAACTGAGCTTAGTGGGACTTAATTTATTGATAAACATTATTACTTACATTGTTCGCACTTTGAATAATGTAAGTGATCATGTCAGTGGCTTTGATCTCTCCACCTAACATACCAAACTTGCTCTGAATGAGAGAATATTGCACCCTATCTCTACTGTTTAAAATGCTTTTATGTTCATTTCTCTCTGCCCAGTCTCTTCTAATGCAATGATCCAGCAGTCACAGAATGAATTTGACAGCAGTGTGGAGAAAGCGGAAGATTGGATGAAGACCATCCAGGAGAGACTGCGGATCAATGACGATACTAAAGGGCCTCGATCTGCCTTGGAGGCCAGACTCAGGGACACAGAGGTAAAAAGAACCATGTTTGCAGAAACAATTCTTTTTTTTAACTGTGATTATTGAATGTTCCGAAATCTTGCTTCAGTTACCCCTCCTGACTCAGATGAACAATGGTGACACCAAAACAATGACCCCAATGTGTACAGTGTGATACACATAGTGTGAAAAGAAACCAATGTCCTTCCCATGCAATTTGTCTCTAGTTTTTTTCTATTCAAAAGTACAGATGACCACAACTGAGCCCCACTTATGACCACAACTGAGCCCCAATTTTTTGTTGCTAAGTGAGACATTTGTTAAGTGAATTTTGCCCATTTTACAACCTTTCTTGCCATACTTGTTAAGTGAATCACTATAGCTGTTAAGTTAGTAGCATGGTTGTTAAGTGAATCTGGCTTCCCCATTGACTTTGTTTGTCAGAAGGTCGCAAAAGGGGATCACATGATCCTGGGACACTGCAATTTGTCATAAATAGGAGTCAGTTGCTAAGCATCCAAATTTTGATCACATGACCATTGGGATGCTACAATGGTTGTAAGTGTGAAGCATAGTCATAAATCACTTTTTCCAGTGCCATTGTAACTTCAAACGGTCACTAAATGAACTGTTGTAAGTCAAGGACTATCTTGTACTATTTAAGTCTATGGAGATTGCATTTAGCTGTCATAATTCATTGACAGGCATGAATCTTTTAATCAGATTATTGCCATTATAGCATTCAGTGCTCTAATGTGGTCACAAAGGCCCTGCTGTGAGAACTTCTAGTGCAATGATGGCAAACCTTTTAGAGACCGAGTGCCCGAACTGCAATCCAAAACCAGGTGGGCGTGGTCTACTGGGTGGGCATGGCTGTGGTCATGGCAGATTGGGTGGGAGTGGCCAAAGTGGGCATGATCACCTCGATGTTGGTCATGGGGAAGGACGCCTGTGGGGGCTGGGCAGGGTTGGGGGACATCCAGGGGGTCTCTGGCAGGTGGGGCGGTGGGCAGGAGGCTCGTCCTGTGGGGTGAGGTGAGGCAAGGCGAGGCAGGGTGGGGGTGCCATTGTCACAGGGCAAGGTGAGGCAGGGGCCGGGGAGGCTGCTGCATGACACCATCGGCCCCCGCACACAGAGGCCAGCGAGCGCATGGATGCTGGGATGCATCCAGCCATGTGGGACCTCGGTGAGTTAGTGGGCAGCTGGTTCAAGAGAGACTGTTGCCATCTCCAGGGCATGACGTGCGTGCTCACAGAGAGGGCTCTGAGTGCTGCCTCTGACACGCATACCATAGGTTCACCACCACTGTTCTAGTGTAACCCAGGACTATAAGGGTATGAGGACCATGTTCTATATTTTTCTGTGATTAACTTAAAATTATTAAACATTTAATGCTAATTTGCAACTATTGCTGTAATTAAATTATTCTGGCTAATGTTACCTGTTTTTTGCTATTGCCTATTAAAAACAATGTTTTTGTTTTTTTAAAAAAACATTCTTTCTAAGCTGGATTTTTAATAGAGTCGCTTGTGAGATGAGTGGGTATATAAATATGATGAAAAATAAAATATATTCAAGCTTGTCTCTTCCCATAGTTGTTCTCCTTGACTTAGTCTTAAAGGTAGTGAGGAAACTTCCTGACTTAAATCCATTATCATGAATTGACAGAGGAGATATAAGAGAGGGACAAATAATGCCATGCCTATGCTTACATCATTGTGCAAATGATGTAGCTATTTCCAAAGCCTCTTCTTACACTGAATTTTGGATAAAAATTAAGCTCACAAGTTGCACTGCACTGTAGGCATTACTGGGTGTGGATTTTTTCCACATGCATCAGGATTTGTGAATCAGCATGCAAAAACATGGCGTATCTACCAAGCCATCAATTATAAGTTGATACATTTTAGGCAATCATAAATGATGCTTATTATGTAGTGGAGTCATGCTATTCCTAAAATTATGCCCTCTGGTCATCTAGATGGGGAATTATGAGAGTAGAACTACTGTCAACGCTGCAAATATTGTACCATAACAACTATATTCAGCACTCTTTTCACAGATATAATTGAAAGAAGGAAAGTTTTAAAATTTATTGTATTTATTAATGCTCACTAGTATTTCTCCAAATGTTGCTAATTACATTTTCCTAATATTTGTCCTCTGTGATTATCCCTGTTTGGGCTGCTAGGAATTATAATTCATTAATAGGTGAAGGGCCATATGTCCCACCTCATCTTTCAACTAAAGAGCTGTGCTCCACAGAGCATTTATAAGAAATGTCAAAAACATCAAGATGGCAGCCATGACTAGGCAGTTAGGTCCTGTGTTGTGCATGTGATCTATTTAAAAATGGACATGATTTTGATCACATGGTTGTGGCCACCATCATTTTGAACTTCTCTGGATGTTCTCAGTGCCCTCCACTGGGTGCTGCTCCAGAGCCATTGCAGGAAAGTGGATAAACCTGTTGGCCCGAAAGATTGAATGAGATATTATTTTTATTGATGGGACCTTAATTTAATCCACTGTTCTTCATTTTTTCACTCAAGTAGCTGGCTATGGTGTTTGTTTGGTTACATAATCCCTCTTTCAAATAGCCCATAATACATTAAAAAAGAATAAGATATATTGGAGATAAATAGAATTTGGCAAATGTCTCCTATATACTAACAGAAATTCAATCTTCAAGGGTGGTTTCGCCTGGATTTTCCTCCTCATCCATACAGAAGAGGATGGTGGCCATAAACTCAGGGAAACCTCATGTATGCATATCCGTTGTTCTACTATACCTTGCAATTAGCAATAGAAAAGTGCAGAAAAGAATGTAGGAAAAGAGTGAAGGTAGATGTTTTATATTGGGAAATTAGTTATATAGAAGCAAATGTTTTATGCTTTAGGTATAGGTGATTGCTTATATGAAAAGAGCAAGGTAAGGGGGGGAGGAGTTACGGATGAAGCCTGGGTTGCTGTGTATGAGTCATCATCTAGGAATTATTTTTTTGTGCCATCTTATGCCTAGTACCAAGATCAGATCTTTTTGTTCTGGAAAGGTATAAAAGATGGAAGACCTCTTTTCTGTTGCCTTCATCTCTCTACCAGCCATGAAGAGAGATGGGGTCACCCAATTCTATTTTGATCAAAATAAAAGTTGTTTGCTTGCTGAAACCTTGGCTCAGGAGTTTCTTTGGCTCTTTTAAATTCCTGAGTAATGCTGGGGCAATTGTGAGGCTAAGTGGAAAACCTTACAGGAGTAAGAAAGTAAAAGTCAAAAGTTTAAGGCAGGATATAAGAAAAAGAAAATCCTACTAAAATTAGTTGACAGCAACACTATCCACCATATCTCTCCAAATCTTACTACATTGTCAATCAACCCTTGAAAGGGAATTCCCAGAGTGTCAACAAAATAATAATTAAAAAAAGATCTTTAGCAGATAAAATATTCAGATAAAGGCAATGGCAGCATTCGCCTGTCAACCACCAAAGTCCTATGGAAATCAGCTGAATGGCTTTAGAATGATAATTGATTGTTGGGGTATTACAGAAATGCTGCAGATAAGGTTGCATCTGTTTTCAAGATCACAAAAGCAGTTTCAAAGGGGGGGAGGGGGAGAAAAGAAAAAACTCCCTGTTTCAAGATAAATAATCTCAGCAGTATCATCTAATCTGAACAGACTTCACACACACCACACACACACTTGCTTTCTTTGACATACATGCATGCATCTATCCTAGCAGCAATTTGTCCCCTATCCAGTATTTTTCAGAGCAAAATGCACAAAATTGCACTATAAATGTGGAAGTCTCATTCTGCTTATAAATCCTTCTTGCTAGAAGATTAATTTGCAGTTAATTGATGATTAAATCAATTGATGTGACTGTGAGTTAAAATGTGCCCCTAATACCATAGCATAATCCTAGCCCAGCTTTATTCACTGGGAAAATGATGACACATAATACAGACAGACACAATTTATATTAAATAAAGTCAGTTAAAATATCCCTGCGCATAAATTATTTTAAAGCCCAGGAAGAGAAGATTGAATTAACCCTATTATAAGAAACCCTCCTTTACCCCAGGTTTCTTCCTTTCCATATACTCACTCATTGCATTTCCTTTTGTTTACTTTGAATAAAGCAATCAATATTATATAGTCTGTAATGTTCCAGTGTTAAAAAGAGTATAGATCTAGTTTTCTTTTTTCTTTTTAAGTATGTTTCTGCAAAAAAAAAAAATCCCATTAAAGAATATATTCATGTTTTCATTTTCATGTATAATTCTTCCTAATAGAAAATCTGTGCATTGGAACCTGAAGGCCGGTTGAAAATGGATCTGGTCCTAATGAAGGCTGATGCTCTACTTCAGTGTATCAGTGAGGAACAAAAGCATGAAATATTATCCAGGCTAAAGGATGTTAAAGCCATGTGGGAAGAAACAGCCATATACATTACTCATTGTCACAGGTGAGACTCCCAAGTGCCCCCAACTAGGTCTCCCACCAATGACTTTTAAGAGTTTTCTGAGCAGAAAACTCTTAAGCCAGACTGAAAATGAAAACTTTGTCCACCTTTGTCACCATTTTCTGAAGATTCTGGTTGGTTTTCTAGTTTGCCCATGAAAAGCGTATCTGCTGTAACTAGGTGAAGCTGGATGGGTAGCAAGTAATCATGGCAAATGAAATGTAATCCTTAGAGATTTATCCAGAGATAGTATCAAAGCATAATAAATCAGTTTGGTTCATTTCAAGTGGTTCAAATACCTGTTTTTAAACACCCAAATCATGGGCCAAGATTCCCTTGAAAAAGAGGAAAAAATACGACATAAAATGAGCATTTAAGGCCATGGCATCCTCCTGGGCTTCATTTAGCAAATGAGGATGCCCGCCCAGTTTTTTTTATACCATTCTGTATGATGGAAAAAAATCAATCAATAAATCAATCAATTCTGATATTGCAGTGGGAATCAATATATGAGAGGAATACAAAGAACCATTGGTGCATTAGCCCTACCAGTATTTATAAAATTGGGGAAAAAAAGTAGCAGGCATTTGGTAATTAGGGATGTGATAATTACATACAAACATAGCAAATAAAGTGGTTTGCTCACCTGGGGGAGGATGTTTTGGGATTCCATACTGTACAAGGCACATGCAAAAAGAGGAAAAGGTCAAAGAACGTGAGGCAGACATAGCAGAAGATGGAGAGAGAACATCAATGATGCACTGTAACAATGTCAAGTAATCATGGTTGAGGCTGCCAGAAGAACAAGAGCCAGAACTTTGTATATCCGTCAACACCGAGAGGAGAAGGAGGAGGGGGGGTGGAGGAGGAATGTGATAATAAGATGTCTGGGAAGTATATCACAGTATTATTTATTATGATTTTATGAAAATTTGAATAAATATTTGTGATTTTATAGACTATTTTGGAATATGTTATATCTTTTATTATTAACCCCAGTTTTGTAGGAATTTTAGGTAGTACATTTCCCAACACTCCTGAGATACAAAGAAATGTTCCAAGGCTCTTCTTGCAAAACATGTGATCTCTTAGTTTGCTATGAATGCCTTTAACTTTGATATGCAGAGAAATAACAAGTCATATTTTCCCAATTCCAAAATTATAGCTCATCAGAAAGGAAAAGAAGTAGACTGTAGCAAAGGAAGAAGAGGCCCAAGAATTCTTCAAGGCTTTTTTGTACAGCATTAGATCATGGATTAATGTGATAACTAAAGCTAAGCTTGTTCAGAACCTCTTTACAAAGTTGAAAGAATAGTAATATGAGGGGAAAGTACATGGGCTGGTACTGGAAAGCAACCATGGTGGCAGCATTTACCTGGAACAGGTTGGGGGTCTTAGACAAATGCTATATTTTGATGTTGGAATTCATTGGCAAGTACCATTTATATTTTGTAGACTATCTAGTTTAGCGCCCTCTGGATACAAACGATCACCTATTACTGGTCATACAATCTGGAGATGATGTAAATTACATCCAGGAGCACTCTCTTTAACGCTGGAGAAGACAGAATTAATGTGTCTAGTTGTCTTTTTTGTTTCAACAGCCGCATTGAATGGGTGTGGTTGCATTGGAGTGAATACTTGAAGGCCCAAGATGAATTTTACACCTGGCTTCATAATACGAAGGTGACCTTGGAACCTGACATAGAGTTGCAGCTTGGCTTAAAGGAGAAGCAGTGGCAGCTTAGCCATGCTGAGGTCCTACTGAAAGATGTTCAGAATCGGTCATCTTTGTTGGATCGGCTGCTAGAGGAAGCCCTATCTCTGTATAATCGGATTGGAGATGCAAGTGTTGATGAAGATGCCAGGGAAAAGATGAAGGAGGAATATGAAGATATCAAGAACAAAGCAGAGGTGAGAAAAATTCAGAGTGAAGACCAAACAAAAGAACAAAGTAGATGTTGTAGTAGGTGTCCTCTTCTCCTCTTCCCTATATTTAATTTGCCTCACAGCTATACAGATCAGCAAATTCCCTTCTGTTTTGGTCAGGAATTGCAGATGTTGGCAGAGATCATATATTACCATGCTTCTCTTTGGCCCTGAGATTTGAATAAGCCACAGTGCCCAGGTTCACACATAATTTACAAATCACAAAGATTAGATTTGCTCATTAAACTGAGCCACATAAATCAGTCAGTGGGTTGAGGACTGAGGCAGGCAAATTTGAAAGGATAGACGTGGCCTCTTTTCTATGTGTCCTTTTTTCATGCTTATGAAGTATTTTATACCTCTTGTAAATAATGGCTTTTCCTCTCTTACCTGAGCAGTTTTAATGCTTCCATTGAATACCAGCTAGGAATAACATGGATTCTTCCATCCTACTAATAAAGGGTATTTTCACTGTTCTGCCTCCCTTCTTCTCAGCTTTGACAATTATACTACTGAAATATTTCCATATCTTTGTTCCAACTGTGTTCTCATTACGTCTTCCACTATGCATAGCCCAAAATCTTGGGTGACCATTTATTACAATAAAACTGCATAAATAATTACTGAAGACAGCCTCTCATTCTACCTTGAGTTAGAATATCAATGATATTTCAGTATTTAAATGCAGTGTAAATTAGTAGAAAACCTTTGCCCTAAGACTTTCATTTGGAACCAGATCCAAATGAAAGGCTTAGGGCAAAGGTTTTCTACTAATTTAGAAATATTTCATAGTATAGTATAGTTGACAAAACTGAGAAGAACAGAGGCAGAACAGTAAAAATACTCTTTATTTGTAGAGTGGAAGAAACCCTTTTTTATTGACCACTTAATGAATGGGTAAAATTATTCATAGGCATGGTGAGTAGAAAATCTTATCCCAATGTTTCTCAAAGTTTAGGAACATTCTGCAATATCTGAATACATGATGTCATACTACTCTGAATTTCATTATTGGTTTATCTCATCTGTTTATTTTCACATTTCAGACTGAACCTACACAGGAATAATTTATATACTGTTCAGCCTCTTGCTCATCCTTCCAAACAACTTCTGAAGCTTCCAAATCAAATTGGGTACCACATCTGTCTTGGGTTTAATTTTAAACCTTCTTCCAATCATATAATCCCCTAAATCTTTGAGTCATAGAGACATTTATATGAAATGTCTTTTCATATTTTATATAATGGCCATAATAAAGTTACCACAAAAACTCTGGCCCAAATATGAAAGCAAATAAAGAGAAGAACTATTATAATCTGCATGTTTTGAAATGTGTGCAGTTAAGAGGAGGTAACCATGACTGAAAAGAAAATATTCATTTGCTAACAAATTTATTTGTTGCCCAATTGTTGCATTGGTTACAATTGAAGAACAGTTACAGAACTTTGTTCTTTGGTTTTTCAAGGCTCTTATTGTACATTGTATTCCAAAGAAGGTTGTGTTCCTGATGCACAAGGCACAAATAATTCTTTGTGATACATTAATTCAAATTTATAATAACCTTTTCTATAGAGCACTCTTTAGGGTGGTTCCTGTGAAAAATGTCATAGTCCCTATTCTTCTGACCAATGATTAATTGCATTTCTAAAACACTCCATTTTCAATAATGATAATTGCTGGTGAAAGACACTAAAATATAGTTTCTTGGCTTTAAATTAACCTTGCTAACATTTTATTTGTGTACTTTATTTTTATTCTGATTTTAGAAAGGTAAGTAAATTATCCTTATAAACAAAGAAATACCCTAGAAAGAAAGGGGAGGAAGGAGAAAAATGTTTGAAACAAACCAACAGAAAAAGAGCAAATCACAAGCATTTATTTTTCTGTTAAAATTCATTGACACATCATAGCTTTTTTTTTTTAACCAAACAGCCCTTTCTGTCTACTTGTAACAGTTCAGTGGAATCTCATTCCTCATAAATGAAGCAAATGTACACCAAGTTACAGCTTAGGAGTACCCTAAAATATTTTTTTTTCTTAACTGTAGTTGTAAAGAAAACCTTTATAGTATTGTAAATAATCATATACCCTTCTTCCTTTGGCAAATAATTCCTCTTTATGCTTTTCAACTCTGCTAATGGATGGTTACTCTGCCAATTGCAGGGATATAGCATTGCATGATGGTGTGTGTGTGTGTGTGTGTGTGTGTGTGTGTGTGTGTGTGTGTGTGAACAGTGTGAATTCAGTAGCCATGTCTGAAAGTCAAAGATGACATAACTCTCTTTTCATTTTAGCAGTGCAAAACTTTAAACAGCCATTGCTATTTGTTTGTTTGTTTGTTTGTTTGAATTTATAGGCCACCCCAAACTCCAAAGGACTCTGTGAAATCCCTTCTCCAGGATTAGGACCCTTGTTGTGAGATGGAGAAGTTCTTAGCTGCTTTTTTGCCTGTCAGTTGCAATGAAAATGCCCCCCCCCCCATTGGTACTGGCCTGAGGTGGGAAGGGGAGAGCCTATGGAAGGCTCTCTCTCCAGAAACTAATTTTGGAGCATTTTTATCTAACAAATGGCAGAACAAAAGTTTTATTCCTTTTTTGTTCCAATTGCAATCATAAGCAATTGGGGCATTCACAGGAGAATATCAAAAAATTCAAAATGGTGGCTCCACTCATCCGATTGTAGCAGTCATCTTGATTTTTTTTTTTTTACACTCCCCATGAATCCCCCTATCTGCAGTTATCTTGAGCAGACAGTGGTGGCAGCTACTGTTTGTAATACTATTATAAAGAGAGGCGAGTAATTCAGAAAAAAAAATTAAATCCACCTCTGCTTGTATTCTTGTTAATATGGAGGTCTGAATGGAACTTCCATAGTCCAAGGCAGTATAGCTGGAAAACAGTGGAGGAGAGTTATTGCCTTATTGTCAGTAAGTTGCCACTAAAGAAAACAGGCTGCTGGATATTTGATAGGTCCTTGATCTCATCCTTTAGCAGAAAATTATCCAGTTGATCAGGAGTGTTAGCTAACCCCGGAACTATACTGATTTACATATTTGCACAGATGCCCTGAAGGAACTGCCTGTACAGTTTTCTTTATATTTTCCCACAAAAAGGGGGGCAGGGGGGAGAAATTAAGAAATTTGAATAACCCACACAGGCCCCCTAGTGGAAACATGACATGAGATAATGCATATTGAACTGTGCATTTTTGCTTAATGTTTTCTGTGATATTTCCTAAAAGTATTTTTATTTTCAATATAATATTTAAAATGCTGTCATTAATGAGAAGTTGGCTTACTAAAAATTTCTTCCAGCACCGTCTTTCCTTCCTTGAAACAAAATGAAAGCCTTTAAAATATTGTATTTACTTAATTAAATGCTAATAATTACAGTTCACTTGGACCTGGGATATGTTAATTGTTTCAAATTCCTGAAAACAACCAAATGAAATATGAGAAGAAGAGTTCTTTGTGCTCTGAGTTTATCAAAAAATAATCTTTCCCTTTGGGATATTTCTCTTATTTCAGAGAAGAGTGATGTTACTTGAAAAGATAACAACAGAGCATAAGCGATATAAGACCAATGTGGACCAGTTTCAGTTATGGCTGACTCAGCTAACAGAAAGATTAAACTGCTGCCTCAATCAAGAATCAAAGCTGCCAGCAGAAAATAGAATTAAAGCATTACAGGTATTTGATTGCTGTAGTTATTTCTATGAAGGCATTTGACAAAGTAGACCACAACCTACTACTTGATAAGATAGAAAAATGCGGGTTAGACAGCATCACCACCAGATCGATCCGTAGCTGGTTGACCGGCTGTACTCAGCGTGTGGTCCTCAATGGAACCACATCTACATGGAGGGAAATGTGTAGTGGGGTGCCCCAGGGCTCTGTTCTGGGCCCAGTGCTCTTCAACATCTTCATCAATGATCTGGGCGAGAGGATAGATGGGGAACTCATCAAATTTGCAGACGACACCAAGCTGGCAGGAATAGCCAATACTCCAGAAGACAGGCTTAGGATACAGGAGGATCTGGACAGACTTGAACACTGGGCGCTATCTAACAAAATGAAATTCAATGGTGAAAAAGTAAGGTTCTACATTTAGGCAAGAAAAACCAAATGTACAGATATAGTATAGGGGGTACCTTGCTCAATAGTAGTAACTGTGAGAGGGATCTCGGAGTCCTAATGGACAATCATTTAAATATGAGCCAGCAGTGTGCTGCAACTGCCAAAAAAGCCAACACAGTGCTAGGCTGCATTAACAGAGGGATAGAATCAAGATCACGTGAAGTATTAATACCACTTTACAATGCCTTGGTAAGGCCACACTTGGAATACTGCATCCAGTTTTGGTCACCACGATGTAAAAAAGATGTTGAGACTCTAGAAAGAGTACAGAGAAGAGCAACAAAGATGATTAGGGGACTGGAGGCTAAAACATATAAGGAACGGTTGCTGGAATTGGGTATGTCTAGTTTAACGAAGAGAAGGACAAGGGGGGACATGATAGCAGTGTTCCAATATCTCAGGGGCTGCCACAAAGAAGAGGGAGTCAGGCTATTTTCCAAAGCACCTGAAGGCAGGACAAGAAGCAACAGGTGGAAACTAACCAAAGAGAGAAGCAATCTAGACCTAAAGAGAAATTTCCTGACAGTTAGAACAATTAATCTGTGGAACAACCTGCCTCCAGAAGCGGTGAATGCTCCAACACTGGAAGTTTTTAATAAGAAACTGGACAGCCATTTGTCCGAAATGGTATAGGGTTACCTGCCTGAGCAGGGGGTTGGACTTGATGACCTCCAAGGTCCCTTCCAACTTATTATTATTATATTATCGATCATCGCACAGTCAGCCAGATGTTCAGACTGGATTTGGCATTTTGTCTACCTATCGAGTCCTTACCCAGGACCTGGGATAGGCAGATGTGGATGTTTGATGGTATTACAGATATCGTCGCAGGATGGAAGCAGTTCCTAATAAGGCCGCCTTTTGCAATTGACTAATAGCGAATTTGTCAATGCCAATGGTGTTCAAGTGGTGCTCCAGTTGTTTTGGGATTGCACCCAAGGAGCCTATGACTATTGGTACTACCCTTGCTTGCTTTTGCCACAGTCTTTCTATTTCTATTTGTAGGTCTTTGTATTTTGTTATCTTCTCCAGTTCTTTCTCTTCTATTCTGCTATCTCCAGGCACTGCCACGTCCACTATCCAGACTTTTTTGTCTTTCTTATTGACAATTGTTAAGTCTGGGGTGTTATGTTGCAGGTGCTTGTTGTTGTTGTTGTTGTTGTTGTTGTTGTTGTTATTATTATTATTATTATTATTATTATTATTATTATTATTATTATGTTTTGCCAAGAAGTTGGAGTTCTGTTTTTTAAGCTTTCAGGAACCTCTGTGGAGGAACCTTTTTTTTAAAAAAAAATAAAAAAAAATAAAATCAAGATAACTTCATTTGTGCAGTTGTAACCAACATCTTGACTTCTTTAATTTCCCTGAAAAATGCCCATTATTTTCCCATAGGCAGGGACCTATACCTTACTGAAATCCTGCTCCTTGCACTATTTATTAATGGCATCGGTCATAAAAAAAAACCAGTTTTTCCCCCCCATGGAATGAAAAATCATTTGCAGAAAATGATTTCTAAATATTGATTTCTCCAGAGTTACTTTTATTTTTAAAGAATTGTGCTGTTTTTTGCACACTGTTATCAGTAGCTTTTTAAGCATTATTATTTACAGTTTTCTGAGCAGAAGTTTAAAGCTCCTAGAGCTCCAGCAAAATCCAAAGAATAATATTCATGCTGATTATTACTGGAAATGCATTGCAAAATATCTTTATATCCATATTCAAGAAGGCTAAATCTTCAACATGACATATACAATCAAATTTGAATTGATTTTACATTTGTTGTATTTTTAAATTGTCAAGATTTACTGCAACCATGAAATCTAGTTTACTAAAATTTGGAAGTTTGCCCTGCTTTCAGAGGCTGAAGCTCTGTTATCATAAGATCAAAATATAGACCATTCTTGAAAATATTTCTGGAATCTTTTTTTTCACTGTATCTGCAGTAAATGCCTACTATCTCAATCTTGTAAGAATTTTTGGAACTAGTCAAAAGCACACTTAGAACAGAGTAAGCAACATTGTGAGCCATAAGTTATTGGACAAAATGCTTTTTAAGAACAGAGTGTGGTGTCAAAGCAGTTAAACCAGTCTTTGAGATACATAAATTTGCTTCTTTATATGATATTTAATACAGAGTTCCTTGAACAAATGCAAAGAAAAGGAGAAAACCAAACCATATATTAGGGACATTAATCCAGAGAAGTCAATATGGCTGGTGGGATCTGCAAGCTCAATACACATATATGTATTTTCTGTGCACTGCTGACAAACTCATGTGTAAAGCCATGTTTGGTAATCAGTGCAGTTCATGTGTTATATGTATTGAGTGGGATCATTGTATATGTATGGAAAGTCTACCCAAACTACCATAAATGCCGGCGTATAAGGCGACTTCCGCGAGCGCTGATATCGGCGCCAAAGACGGGGGTCGTCTTATACGCCGAGTCGTCTTATACGCCGGAAATACTGGTAGTTTCCGGCGTATAAGATGACGTTCTAGGAATGCTGCCCGGCTATAAAGACGGGGGTCTTATACGCCGGGTCGCCTTGTACGCCGGCATTTACGGTATGTTTGATCCTATTTATTATGTTACCTTGGGAAAGTAGCCATTTCTGCCAGCAGGATATTGTAAAGATTCAAAAGTAAAGAATTTGTGTTGCCAAGTCCTAAGTCCTGCTGAATTGCTAGCAGTCAGGGATTTTATGTGACCTCTAGGTATTTTTACCTTAAGTTATATTTTGTTTTAATGAATGGATCAAGCATTTAGAGGTGCTCCATTTTTTGAAGATGATAGTGTAATAATATCAGGAGTGCAGGCACACTGAATTGGTAAGGGGAGAAGATGCACACCATTGTTCCCCAACAGAGATGGTACATAAATCCAAGAGCCACTGTTGCCTGATCCAGCCTGGGTTTGGTGGATTCATGGTTATGACATTCCTGGCATGATGGCCATTCAAAAGAATTTGGGCGCCTAGGCACAAGGCATGCTGGTCTTTTCTTGTATCCATAGGCAGTAATGCATAGTGGATTTACGATGCCTCAATACCAGTATTTTCTACATATGAGATTGGAAATCACTTACTTTGCAGCTCTTTTCTCCTGCAGGACATTACAAATGATGTAAGGAGTGGAGAAAAGAAATTCAAACATCTGGAAGCACAGTCTGTAGATGTGATGCAAAACACCTCTCCCCTGGGGGCAGAAAAGATGAAGGCTGAGCTTGAGGAGCTAAAAAAACTCCTGGAGAATATAAAGCTAGTGAGTGTGGAGGAAGAGGAGAAACTGCTGAAGATCCTTCAGTCTGAAAACACCTACCACAGCCAGGCCAGGCTGCTAGAAGCTGATGTTCAAGAATTCCGTAAAAGGCTGCAAAGACTAGGAAACCACTTTGAAAAGGATGATGTTGTAAGAAGCGATGAAGATTTAATTTCTTTATGGAGAGAGTACATGGTTAGTATTTATTGCTCAGTAACCAACTGGGAACAAAAGCAAATGGACATACAGTATAATGAAATTACAATGACAATAAAGCTTGCCTGTCTATGCAGATGCAATTACACGGAAATAAAAATTGAGACATCTACATGGCAACATTTTAATGGATCCCAATGAACTGTGCCCTTATCCAGGATGTTCCACTTCATTAGAACACGTGTCCTTTGTTTTATTCTCACTGATGTTATCATGAGGCTATCTTAGGTCTTTTTTCTTGTTTCCTAACTTTTGTATAAATGTTGGAAGAAATAAGTCACTTTTACCTGTAGTTAATTTATGAAATAATTAAAGACACCATTGTTTGTTTCCTCTTAAACTTTCATCACAAAAAGTATAAATAAAACTTAATAATGAAGACCTTGTCACTTCCAGGTTACAAACAAATATCTCTTTCTTCCATACCCATCCCTTACCTATATGCAAGTCCATAAATTATCAGCTTTTCAGTCCTAGTGTCAGAAAAAAAGTTACTGGAGCTTTGTAGAAATATATCTTATTTTAATCGTGGTCAAACAAACCAACTCTATAGTTCTTCTTTTCACTTCTGACCATCTTGATCATTAATTCTTTCAGATATCACCATAGGATTTAGTCCGTCTATAATTTTTCTTTTTTTCCATCCCAACGATTTCTTCAAGGCTTTAGCAGGCCTCTTTTGTAAATCCAGTAAAAAGTCATTATCCGGATTATTCTCTTGTTTGATCATTTCTATTTCCACTTTGATTTTCAAAGTTTTAACTGCACTTCTTTTGTTTATCCAATAGAAAGTCCTTATTTGGGTCACTCTCTTGGCTTGTCATTTGTGTTTCCACTTTAGCCGCCTCTCTGTTTATAATCCACACAGTGTTTCTAGTTCTAATATTTCTGCATTCAGGCAAAATTTGTTTCACATCAATTATTCCTTCATTAACATATTATTGGACATAATCTATCCATAGGAGCAGACATCATTGTTGACTTTACTGACATTATAGCTACTAATTTCTTGCCCCATTCTTGAGGTTTTCCTGGAATATTTCAAATTTTAGAAATATATGCCATTTTGTAAAGCCCCATACTAACCAAAAACCAAAAGCAAGTTTACATTTTTTTTTCCTGCCTGGAGCCATAAGTCATCTCAAGTGTCCAATAAAAGCGGTTGTTCTTTTTTCTTTGATTAGAGAAGTCATTTTAGGCATCTCAGCAAGTTCCATCATTTTCACCAATTATTTCTCCATGGTGGGCAGTACAGAATCTTTCCATCTTTATGCAATTATCATGTAAAGAAAATAAAGTTCCACAATGTTTTTCCAATTGTTTGTCTATCAGTCCCAAAAGAAAAAAAACTTTGATCTGAATTATGCATCAATGTTTAAAATTCTCTAAAGCAATATATTTGTTTAAATCCAGAATTTTCTAGCTTTTCTGCACATTCACCAAATATGATAAAATGTCCCTTTTTCTTGTTCACAATTCCAACATAAATTTGAAGTGCCTTTATACATTCTGGACAATTTCTTTGGTAACATATAAGAGTGATAGAACATTTTCACAAAAAAATGTAAGATTATAATATAGTATAAATTTTAATCTTTTCAATTACATATTGTTTCATCTGTGTATTATAACCAAAATTTTAGCCTGCTTGTTCTTCTGTTTCAAATTTCAATAAATATTTGTATATTTTAGCAATTACATGTTCATCATTTGTACACAGCTCTATTTCAAACTCAGTCTTACAATGTTCAAAACCATAAATTATTTTCTCTACTTTAAATCTTTCTAATAATTGTAAATAAGATAACATTGAAAATTATATCCCTCTGCCCCCAGTTCTTTTGATTTGATTTTATGTTCCCCTTCATAGAATTCTACTATCTCAGGATAAATTACCTATTTCTGTTCACCTATTATTTCTCATCTATAAAATGCTTCTTGTGCTGAGAATCACAGAGGTGTTTTGGAGTAAAACCTAGGTTTGTACATATTCCATATTCTTTATTATTCTTAATCATTTAATATAATGATTGTATCTTATTGAACTTTATATTTAATTCATGACTTTTATTCCCTTGCCACACAAACTTAGATATATCCTTTTGCCATTGTTTAAATAAACATTTTTCAAAAGTGATTAGAAAGTGAGGTTAGTGAATTTAATATCCTTCAAAAAGCTCTATCATAGTTATTGAGCATAATGGGAGAGTGCTCTCCTGTAGTCTCCTCATAAACATGTCTGGAGCAAATATGAGTAATCTCTTATCCTCTCCTTGTCCAGAGTGGTTTTGAAGAACTGATCTACTCTTCAGTCTTTTGCACGGTTGTTTCCACTCGTTTAGACACATGCTTTGTTCACCCTGCCTCCGTCAGAAGTGCCAGGAGCTTCTTAGAATTGTTTTACTCAGAGTTTTCTTCAGTTGAGATTTCAGGATGTTTTCAGTATTCTGTGATTTTTATGAGGCTTTGAGATGGGAGAGGTTGCCACTGTAAGTTTGCTTTTATTGTGAAATGTATATTTATGCTATATTGTGGCTATGTTTTTATTTTTATAAACTATTTGGAAATTGAATTTAATTATTACGCTGCTATATACAGGTATATCAACATTTCTTGGCAATAATTTTGTTTTTAAGGCAACAAAAGCAAACCTTACAACAGAAGAACCAAAGGCTGAGAAACTGAAGATTCAACTGAAGGAGTTGTTCAAATTTTCACAGGACTTGCAGCCTCTTTCTGAGAGTGTGATCCATGCCATACGAGAACATCAAAGGTATTTTGCTGTAGTGAGTGGCACAATTCAGAATAAATGATGCCAGGGGATTAGCTCCAGAAGTACATTTCAATGAAGAACTGATAGAGACAGTTTGTTTCAAAATTAAGAAATATAAAACTGAAAGGAGACAATAGCAAATTACATCTCTTGACTTCCACTGGTCTTGACACTCAATTGAAACAAGATTTGTCTTTTTTTCCCCCTTCTCAAAGCTCTAGGTGCCTTTTATATATTTCTCTCACTTCTTACAATAATTAGTCTCATAATAATACTGTGGAGACAGGCTGAAAGATAATAACTGGCTCAAGTTCACTCATGGTTGAATGGGGATTTAAACCTGGATTCTTCAGTCCCAATATATGAAATACCATTGTGGAACTCTGGCTCAAATGGTTGCCATCCAGATAGGGATTTTTTTTTCCCACATCACAGGAAAGAGAGATTTGTAGAGGCATGTTGAAGACCTCCCAGCCCTGGTGATAGTTGCTCATTTTAACTGGCTCTCAGTTTTCAGATGGAATGTTATGAAATAACACCCATGTAATAGGTAGAATATAGGTACCAAAATATGTGTAGGAATGGAAAATAATGGGGTATTTTTCAGTTTAATCACTCCATAGTAATCCTGTCAGGAAGGGAATTTGTGCAGATGAAATTTAGGGAAACCTGCATCTGCTTTCAAATGTCCATCTCATTTGGCTGTTCAAATAAATCTCTTTTTCACATCCTCCTAAAAATTAAATCTGAAACCATTATATTGCAGCTCTTTAAAAAAGAAACCCTTTAACACTAAAAATATTCTAACTTTTTGGAAAGATGCATATAATGTGGTTTATGCTTTCATGTCATCTAGATACATTTGCTATCCACATTTCTAGGATGTGCTTTCTGACTATGACCTGTGAACATATAAAAATGCCTTTTATTGACTCAGTTCTTTGGTCATCTGGTTCTGTATCCTCTACTGATTGGCAGTAACTCACCAGAATTTCAGCCTAAATTTTTCTCACTTCTACCTGTAGAGACCAGGAATTAAATCCAACTTATCTGCATCAGAAGCTGCACTGTAGCATTATGACTTTTTCCTGAAATGGTGGCAGGTCCCATCCATGATTTGATATAGATAGAATGTTGATTTATTTCAGCTTTGAGATCTTACTCATGGGATGATTTTGTACCTTTTTCTTACAGTTGCTTTTGATTAGAAAAAGCTACAGTTGTACAACTATTAGTTTCCAAAATGAAACTCTGCCCAACTAGTCATAAAACTAGAAAACTAGTTAGTATTGACAGTACTGAGTCATCTTGAGTAATCATCTGAAAAAAATTAAGAAATGCTATAGTATATCTGCTTTTTGCACTGCTATCTTGTTATGGATGATACAAGGGGCAATGAAGAGAGAGGAAAGGGAAAGGGAGTGGAATAATCCTTCTAGTTAACTTTGCATCTTACTTTCCCTCCTGCTTTTTGGAAGTCTGGATATGGGAGGATTCTTTGGAAGTGGAACAAAATAATTGAATCACTGGCTCATGCTGTATAAGTCATTAACTTACTGCGTGTTGCATTGCACTTGTCTACATATATTCATATTAGCAGAGATATTATGATACTTTCATAGAGCCAAATGTTATGCAGGTAGTAACACTAGTGATAAGAGGGCTTTTTCTTATGTGTTTGCTGATTTTTTCCCATGCATATTTTTGTGGATCAACATATTCACACTCGCACACACACACATAACACAAAATATTTCTTCTAGCTTTAGTAAAATATTTTTGCTTCCATGTTGAGTGTAGTCAGGAAATTATCTGCATAATCTTTTTTCAGATGTGGAAAAAGGGTTGTCAACAGCTGGTTAAGGCACAGACAAATTTTTGTTTGTATCTAAAAACTGGCTTTCTTGTGACAAGCATTAACTGTTTTGGCAAGCTAAAAAGGCTTTCTGCTAATGAAATTAGTTACTGCAGGAGAAACATTAATTCAGATTTAAGGAAGTAAGTCTGGGATTCTTGCCAATGAGGAAAAGTATGAATGGAAAGCTTGAACATTTGCCACAGTAGAGATGACAGATTGTTGGTATCATCTTCCAAAGAGGCATTGCTTCATTTGTAGGAAATAATAATCTCACTAATGATTATGAACAGACAGAAGAAATGACGGTGAAGGGAATGATCAAAAGACTTGTGCTCTTCCAAAATTATGTTAAACATAAGCTGTCCTTACAGAATAACTACTATCACAAGAGCATTATGACATGCCAAGTGGATAATCTATTGTTTTGTTTAACTGAAAACAAAATATGTTTCCCAAGGAAAGCGTCGTGTTTGTTTTCTAAAAACCTATGTATTGGCCATTACTGCCTGCCAGGTCCCTTCAAGCTGGAGAATGAAATTAGAAATAAGCTGTGCCTCGGGTTGTGAGCCAGAGACACAAGCTGGCTGGAATTTTCAGCAAGTAAAAACGGGTTTTTTTTCAGTCAGTGGATTGAAGGAGCCAGACACCTGCAGAGAGGATGAAATTAATTTTGTTCTGATTTAAACATAAACCAGTATTTTTTGAACTAGTACACAAACAGAATTCAACATGCCGTCTGTACCAGATACGCTCAGAGGCAAACTGTAAATAACTTCTTAAATCAAAATCACTAAAGAATTTTTTAAATAGTAGCCAAAATATGCTTTTCAGAATTTAACTCTTTGCATAACTACATTTTCTAAGTATTCTGCACCACACAGGTTCAGGTATGGCTAGTTCATTCTAAAGAGAGCATTTTGACAGTTTGTTAGTACTAAAATTAGCAGGAGGAAAAGCCAAAAAACACACCTGTTGACTCTGACAAATCAGAGTAAACTTTTGGCTTCATGGCTGCCCCTTTTAAAGAGTAGAATGGGGAAATAAAAAGATCTATCATCCCAACCTCATATTTTAAGTCTAATATTTTGTACATGCAAACAATATAATCTATAGAAAGGGGATATTCTAGATAAACACACTTAACCTTGTGATTGCACTTGCTCCAGTTGCTAAGCTTTAACCTTGATCACATGCCTTATTGTGCAAACCCACCCCATTGGTGAGTTTATGATTCAATATATTTCAGCAGCCCACTAAATAAGTTAGTTCAAATGCAGACAGGATGATGTACTGTAACAGGCTAGCTAACTAGGGGATTCCAGAATGGAGAATACTGCTAAATTGGACTCCCTTGATACTTAGTGTGCATATTTTTTTGCTAATTGTTATTTGTAAATAAATTAGACAATGTTTATGCTAATATATGGTTTAGTTTAACGCTAGATTTCAGTGGTGTATGTCTTGAATTATAAATACTTTAGGCCATTTCTGTAATTAAGATGATACAAAGTCACACGAATAAATATCACCAAAAGCACTATGATTTTCATTATTACAGGGAAAACTCTCTTTTGGGTTGTTGTTTTTTCTCTTTATTGTCTCTGTTGTCTTTCTGCTCTAGTCCTGTAATAGATGGTGGCCATGTGGATCTTAAAACTGATCCTTAAGAGGCTATTGGGGAGTCCAAGCTGCACAGCTAGCTTCTTGTAATTCCCTGCAGCAGGTGCAAAGAAAATGCATCTGGGCATCTAAAAGTGGTTTTGTGGATTATCTGATTGGCAAAGGCAGCTGTGGAAAGAAGAAGCCAGGAAAATATAGGAAGCAAAAACAGAGCTGCTTTGTGTTAAGAAAGCAATTTACATGGGCAGGTTTTTTGTCCCTTTCAATCCAACTTGGAATTCACTTCTCCCTTCTGCAAAGAAAGAAATTAATCCTTCTTCATAATTCATAATAAAACTTCATAATTTTGTTAATTTATTTTTATAGTCTGAAGGGGAAAATGTTTAAATTGAGCACAGAGATTGAAACAGAGTTGAGGCAACGCTTCCAAAATCCACTGAGGGAGTTTCAGCTGTGGAAACCATCAGCTCAGCGACTCCTGGACACCACAGCCCATGTTTCTGATCCTGCACTGACAGATGCATTCTTGCGTCAGATTGAGGTGATGACTTTATAACATTTGGAATTTTAAAATAAATGTGTTCACAGACCAATACATAAAACAACACAGTAAATCTTGTAACAATTTCAGACTATTCTGTATTACTATGCAGAACATTTTTAGCCTATACAGCTGCCATCATAATGGCAGCATTGTTCTTTGGAATAAACAGTTGAAGAAAAAGTTAAAGACATACTAGTAATGCAAGGTCCTGGAAATATCATTTATTTATTTAAATGTTATATCATTTATTTATTAATCTCACTAGAGACTGAATGATGGTATGTTGGAAAGCTTCAAAAATATAGTATAAACTCTACCCTGGATCCGAACATACTAGAATAGTGCATAGTGGAAAAGGTTCAACATGCATTCACCCTAAATCCCCCTTTACTGCTTAAAAGCTTAAAAAGTTAACTCTCACCTATTAACAGTTGGTGCAAGCCAATTTCTCTAATTTGTCCTCCTGCCCACTTTGGATTTTCTTTTTTATTTCTCCCTAGGTTGAAATGTCAATGTCCTGGAACATCCTGGAACTCTGCAGAGCCTCACAAGCTCACCAGGAAACCAGGATTTCCTTAGGATGTGGTTGGAAAACAGTTGTAGGAGATTATTTGAAGCCTTACATAGCTAAGATCAGTCTCTGAAATATTACTTGCTCACATATAAAGCTCTGAATTCTGAGTCCAAGGCTCTGTTGTCTGGTTCATCTGAAAAAAGACAAGGCTTTTTTTAATAGCAGAACTATAGTTGTAAAATGCTCTCTCCAGTTAAATCTACTGATCTTCCCCTTTTCCCGTTTTACATGAGCGTTAGGAACTCTCCCCAATGCCATCTGTGTAGTTTTGTGCAGTTTTATATGCCCGTATATTTCTTTAATTTTATGTTGAGATTGATTGCCATCAGATTGGTGCCAGCTCTTTCAGACCCCGTAGACTTTCTTTTTCTGCTTTTTTTTACTTTTAAATATTTTTTATTCATCTCCAAATTTAAAATACAGAATAAAAAGAAAAAGATGTCAACTACATGTAAAACAACCAAAGATCAATAATAAAAATGAGGGTAAAACAACTCACAAATATACCATTAATATTAATAATCAACATAAAATGTCCACCTTTTGATTAAAAGCTGAAACATGTATCTCAAATATCTGATACATTTCCCTCACCCTTGCATAACAGGTCTACAACTATTTCCCCATCTATAGTTTCTTACTAAAAATACTATGTTACATAAAAACATGTCACCAATGTGGAAGTCTGTTATCCATCTATCAAGTCGACCCACCACCTATTCACCTAAAAGAGAAAGTTAATAGGTAACCACCAAAAGCAAAAGTAGTTTTCAAATCTCTTTGTTAACCATCTGTTATTGTACTTTACATTCAGAAAGACCACAAACGACTTCCAATCTCTTATAAACTTGTCTCATCCATTGTCTCTAAATCAGTGTGGTTAATATAGATACCACTTTCTAAATAGATTTTTTCCACTATGATCTGTTCTAAACCTCTTCTCCAGATCTTCAAATGGGATACTCCCGGACAGTGTAAAAAATGTAACATATCTTCCTTCCACATTCCCAGCATGAGAGTCTTCTCCAGAGAACCTTCTCCATAGAAATAGTCTTTTCATTAATACAGTACGTTCAAAGGAGAATAATATGAGTCTGGTCATTTGTGTTCAAGTGAAAATTCTAGGTTGATCCAGTTATTCATTTACTTGTTTCCTTGGATTTCCGTAGTATTCTCCATAGCAATGTTCAAAAGCATCAGTGCTCTTTCTGATCTGCTTATTCATAATCCAACTTTCAGTTTCCATCTAGTGTTGCAGGGAATACTTTTGCTGCACTATTTTGATATTTGTAGCTGAAGATATATTATACTGCTACATTTATATGTTGTTATAAATTACATGCTGATAAACCTATTTAATAGTATTTCTGAGTTATAATTAGGTTTTTTAAAATTATTATTCTAATTATTCCTATTTAGGGAAAATAAAAACAATTGACATAAATGCATAACAATCAGATATTTTCCTTTGTAGATCTTTCTGGTTGAAAGCTCCCATCTTAAGGAACAACTCCTGAAAGTCCAGATGAAAAATGATTTCCTGGGTAATATTTTCAAAGAGGAGAGAGCAAAGTTACTCTTGGAGGAGGTTGGTGATGCTACAAAGGAATTAGAAAACCTGCACAAAGGGCTACTCCAGAGGAAAAGCAGGTTACAGGTAAGCTTCTTTTAAAAAGTCAGCTGGTAAGAAGAATAATTGTGATTTAACAGTGCAGTAATTGATACATCATCAACTACAATGATTAATATACCATTCAGTTTTTACTTCAGACAGATTGTTATTTTAATGCTGATGTATTCACAGGTCTGTGTTGTGAGTTGGCAGAAAGCATTATTATTATTATTATTATTATTATTATTATTATTATTATTATTATTATTCATGCTCTCAGGACTGGCATGAAATCAGCTTTTTCTCTCTGGCTAGGCTTTGGTATCACAGCATAAAGACTTTGATGCATCCTTCAAGCTTCTGCAAACACAGTTATCTGCTCTCAGAGTCAAGCTAAGTGCAGAAAAAGAACTGCTGCCAGATCTTGTGGGCAAAGAAGCCCGGTTGCAGAGGCTAGAGGTAAGTGGTATCAAAAACCATCCAAAAGAATACCTTTCCAAAATGCGTACTCAACAGGCACAGCCAGCTATGGATGTGATGCATGTCATACAAAACAAAAGCCCCCAAGCTGTCATTTTTGGAGCATAGTCTTAAAGCAGGAAGACTCGTACCTCCTTTCTGGCTCACGTGGCAGCCATTCAGTTTCAAGAATACATGTTAAATTCTTGAAACTGAATGGCTACAGTGTGGGGCAGGAAAAAGTGTGGTTCCTGTAAGGAGGCGTCGACTGGTACAAGAAGCATGTCCATTTCTCTGCTGCAGCACTTTTGCCATTTTGGAACTAAACAGATGTACATCCCTAAATTCCCAGTGACAGAGCTTACTTGGATGTTCTTGAAACAATCAGCTATTCTGTTTAATCTGTCTCAGAAGGTTATGAGTTTGTTGTGAAGCTTAAAGAAAAGAGGAACAGTGTAATTGGCAATGGTGGGATGAAAAAGTAAGATGTACATTAAAGGAATAAACATTTCCTCCAAAATGAGTTTCATTTGCTAGTTCTCACTTGTGTTGCCACCTGTCTGGACATTACAGTTCATGTTTCTGATCCTATCTTGACAAGGGAAGAACCAAGACCCTATAAAATGTGGTATCTTAAAATAAGTGTGTTAAACCAAACCAAACAAGCATAAAATACCCAAACCAATATAGGAAGAGCATGACATAATTAAGATATAATCTCCCCCCCCCCATTGCAAGGTTCTACATTAGGCAAGAAAAACCAAATGTATAGTAGCAACTGTGAGAGGAATCTCGGAGTCCTAGTGGACAATCATTTAAATATGAGCCAGCAGTGTGCTGCAGCTACCAAAAAAGCCAACACAGTGCTAGGCTGCATTAACAGAGGGATAGAATCAAAATCACATGAAGTGTTAATACCACTTTACAATGCTTGGTAAGGCCTCACTTGGAATACTGCATCCAGTTTTGGTCACCACGATGTAAAAAAGATGTTGAGACTCTAGAAAGAGTACAGAGAAGAGCAACAAAGATGATTAGGGGACTGGAGGCTAAAACATATAAGGAATGGTTGCTGGAATTGGGTATGTCTGGTTTAATGAACAGAAGGACGAGGGGGGACATGATAGCCGTGTTCCAATATCTCAGGGACTGCTACAAAGAAGAGAGAATCAAGCTACCGTATATTCCGGCGTACAGTATAAGGCGACCCGGCGTATAAGACGACCCCCGTCTTCGGCGCCGAGTCGCATGCCTAGAAAGTCGTCTTATATGCTGGAAACTACCGTAATTTTTGGCATATAAGACAATTTGACGTATAAGACGACCCCCAACTTCGGCGCCGATTTTACCACTTGCGAAAGTCATCTTATATGCCGGAAAGTACGGTATTCTCCAAGGCGGCTGAGGGTAGGACAAGAAGCAACGGATGGAAACTAACCAAAGAGAGCAGCAACCTAGAACTAAGGAGAAACTTCCTAACAGTTAGAACAATTAACCAGTGGAACAACCTGCCTCCAGAAGTGGTGAATGCTCCAACACTGGAAGTTTTTAAGGAGAAACTGGACAGCCATTTGTCTGAAATGGTATAGGGTTACCTGCCTGAGCAGGGGGTTGGACTTGATGACCTCCAAGGTCCCTTCCAACTTTACTACTACTACTACTACTACTACTACTACTACTACTACTACTATTACTATTATTATTATTATTCCAGTGGTTTATGTTGCAGAGTATATGCTTTGAGTGTAGGTGGTAGATGATTCATTTTTCTGCAGCTCCAGTTAAGAATATAGATTATCAGGATTAGAACTAACTGTTTCTTGTAGATTATCCTGCTGACCCTATCCCTTTGAGATACAACAATGTGCATTTTCAAGCAGGTTCTTGTATTCTTTTAAGATGTTTTCAAGTATGCAATGGTTCCTTGAACAGCATTCTGCATGGCAACTTATTCAAAATGTAATTTTCTTCTACAGAGCGTCCAAGGACACCTGGATGAATGTGCAGTCCAAATGGAAGAAATAGAGAAACTTGTTCAGTCAGACCCAGCACAGATGCATAAAATAAAACAGTGTTTTTCTGACTATCACATACTTAAGAGATCATTGGAGGTAACTCATTTTGGCGAAGGAGTCTCAAAAGATGGCAGCACTCAGCTAATCTTTTCTGGGCTCAGAAGCTAAGCAGAGTCAGGCCTTGTTAGTACTCAAAAGGGAGACATTAAGGGAGCCCCAGAGATACCAAGGAAGACAGTGAGAAATCACTTACTGTTGCTAAGATGACTACATAAATGGGTCCAAGAAGCCACCAGGAACTGAATTTAACTTGGAGGAGTTTTTTCCTATTTTTTTCTTAAACTGCATGATTTTGCCCTGGTGCATGTCTCATTCTCAGACATCCAGGTCATGGTTGTCTCAAAGGTGCTTTTTCAAAAAGCAACTGGACTTTCTTTGTTTTTCCTTGAAGATGTTTCGCTTTCCATCCAATGCAGCAGTTGTTGCACTGGTGCAGCAAGTACTTCTCATGCTTCTTAGATGAGAGCCAAGCAGAAAAACATGTTCATCAGCCCATACAACCTGCATCTTTTCTTATGGCTGATAATGGACCCTTATGACAGGGTTTCTACTCCTCTTGGGATTCCAAACAAGCAGAAGAAAATGTGGGGTAACATCCCAAAATTCATGATAATAATAACAGTTCTGTTCTTTGGTAAACACAAGTAAGTAAAATGGTCCATCTCTACAGGCCCTTGCCTTTCCACCAATCATCATGGAGATGTCACCTTTATGGAGATGTTGCCTCTAGGTCTTCTTTTAGTGATTTTTCAGACATGTTCCAAATAGAGATGAATCATGGGGCCTAGTCCAGGACCCCATTATCCAAGAGATCAGATTGTTGGTGTAAATAATGGGGGAAATAATATTGATTTGATTGATTGATTTAATGTATTAAATTGTATGCCACCCATGACACAATATAGTGAATCTGGGCAGCTGGTTTAATAATACTAATGATGCATCTTGTATTGGCGTTTTTCCATTATAATGCAGAAGGGAACAATGCAATGTTGGGAAGAAATAGGAGCCTATTTTGTACATTTATGTTTATTACATGTTATGTAATATTTGCTATGTGAAGTGATTGCTCTTTTGAATGATAGAGCAATGCTTGCAGTATGTAATTTTATCAATATCAGTCCATTTCCAGAAAGTTATTAAGTGATGGAAGTTTAGTGATAGAAGCTGATGCTATGTGATCTAAGAGTTTCAAATGATGAGTAAATCAAGCTGCTTTTACCAAGGCAAGTTGCCTTTTGATAAAAGTGTAAAGCAAAGAATGACAACTAGAGTTATTTGGTTCTGAGTAATTAAAACAATGAATGTAGAAACACAATAAAAATTAAATAATAATATTATTAGAAGTACAGTATTTCCTTGGCTGCCTAATACATTAGAAAGGGATGCCTAAGGCATTTTTACTTGTGGAGCAAGCACCACTATGTGGCCATATTCAGATCTGCAACTCTAGATGTTTTTGCTAGTGAAGGTAAAATTATGTTAAATAGTCATTCACTTTACTTCAGGGTTTTTTTATTTTTGAGAAATTATTTTTCTTGATAAGAAAACAATTAATAAAATGAAGATAGAGTATGAATCTAGAAGTCATAAAATGTGCAGTATGCTTTCATGCATGCCTGCTTTGGTGGAAGTTGTATTAAGTTCAATAGAATTTGCTTCTAAGGAAACACTGCAGCCTTCAATTAGAGATTGCCCTCACTTACTGCCCTCAAATGGAACTAGCACTCTTGCTAAGTGATATGGTTGGTAAAGTGAAAAATTACATATCAGTGCTTGACTTATGACAGTAGTTCCAGCTGTGATCATTAGCAAATCACCCACAGTTGTTAAATGTGATGTCACATGACCACAACTTGCACCTTCCAGCTGGCTTCATTAACACTGCTGATTAGAAACTAGCTGCGATGGTAATAAATAACAACCATACGACCCTGGGCCCTGTAACCATTGTAAATTCACCCTGATTGCCAAGTGCCCAAAATAATAATCACATGACAGTGATGCTGCAATGGCCACAGTTTCAGCCACCAAACATACCACAAGTCTTTTTCTTCAGTGCCATCACAATTTTGAATGATCGCTGAATAAGTGATGAGTAAACAAGGACTACCTGTATTTTGCTTTTGATAACTTATAACAGGGGTGTCAAACTGCCTCATGGGCCAGATGCGTCATGCCAAAATCGTGCCCATTCCATTACCAGCAATGGAAAAAAAGTTGTGATACGTCGTGATGTTGCGATTTTGACACCCCTGACTTATAGCATCCTCTAGAGTTGTTGTGATGATAAAACAAAAAGTCCTCATTAATATCAACACAACTCTGGCTGAATGATTGTGGAAGATGCTGTAAGACTGGTAAGATCCTGTCTTCATATTGCTATGTTCATTTTAGGGACACATAAGGTGTATTTTGGAAACTGCAAGAAAAGGTTCTACATAATTTTTTGATTCAAAGAAAGAAATCCAATGAGTTCCCTTATAAATGATGATGGGTCTTCCTGTGGTTCTTTGCAGATCATGATTGCACAAAATAAGCAACATATTCAGAAACACTGGGCTTTTAATGACAAATTATCAGATCTCCAACAGTGGCTTACCATGACCAAACAGAAACTGGAATATTACTGTGATGCTACAACTCACAATGCAATTTTGGACTTGGAGGTAAAGAACCTTTCTTCTCTTGTGAGGTTATTAGACTAACTTTCCAATGGGTAGAAATATGAGGATTCAACTGAGGTTTACATTTCACCTACGATTTAGGAATCAGCAAAATATTTGCAAGGTGCCATGTATTATTTTTAGAAAGTACTGTTTTGAACTACACTGTTTTTAAAGGCCATATGAACACTAAAAACAAGAGAAATTGATATGTGTCTGTATTATGGAACTTGAATATGTAGTTCACACAACAGTATAAAAATGGAATCTCCAGATTTAGAGACAATATGCTCCTGAATATCATTGCTAAGAAGCCATATTGTTTGAAGTACATTACCTTTGATTTCTTGCTGGTTGATTCTTGACAGCACATCCGATATCACCAAAGGAAACAAAATGTTAAATTGTTTATCTATGAAGGATATGATGATCTGTATATTGTATATTCTAGCAGGCTGCCAAGATACAAACAAATTACTCTTATTAGAAGCATGAAGTGATACTTCCAAGATTTTTTGGAACTTAGGCAATGACTTAAAGTTGGTCATTCCCCATTGCTAGTTTAAAGGAGATATTGGTCTGATTAAGAAGAGTACTTCTGCTATTCTTAGATATTTTAGATATTCATTTATAATAATGTCGATACATAAGATTCCATTAATAATATTTGACAGCTTTTCATAGTAAATGACAAAGATCCTACTCTGGATATGTACTTTGTCTTTCATTTATATTAATGAAACAAACATTATAAATGTTAACAAAATTTAAATTGACTCAGAGCTAAATATGCAAATATAACGATGATCTTAAGCATTCATTCTCATGTATCATGTACATTGATGTGAATTTCATGGTGCTCTCTGAGCTTGGTGGTTTTCTTGCAGATGTATCATTACCAAGCTAATCATTACCTAGTTTGGTAAAGAAACACCTGCGTTTGAAAGCCACCAAGCTCAGTTCAATTGTGAACTGCAAATATTCTCTTCCATTGGTACATTGATGTGTTTGTATCTTGTGCCTTTTAGAGATTGCAAACTGAGTTTCCAGGTAGAGAGATCCAGTTACATCTCATTGAAGCCCATGGGCATTTGGTTATAAAAGACACTTCTGCAGAGGGAGCTGTGACTATCCAGGCTGAAGTAAAGAAGTTGAAGGACTCATTCAAGTTTCTTGAAAACCTGATGTCACAGTAAGAGGTTTTTGCACTTTTCTTTCAGGGTTTTTTTGTGCTGAAAGATAGCTGGCTGGTGAAAAGAAAAAGTAGGGGGATGGGGGATTTCCATCAAGAATAGCAATGACTATAATGTCATTTTCTTCTTGTTTAATATTTAAAAGGTACGTGCAATTGTTTTCCAGATTGTGGCTGTACTAAATACAGTCTACAATTTAGAAGGTTGTTTATTATTTATTTATTACATTTCTATCCTGCTGCACTCCCACTAGACTCTTGAGCAGTGTTAAGAGTACAAACATTAAAATATCAGAATTACTAAAATCCATGAACAGAAAACACATCAAACAAAAATCAAAAAGTTCAAAACCTCCAAACCAGTAGAAATGAAGAGGATCAAGCTCCAAATACCGTATTCTCCAAAGAACTTTGTTTTCAACTGCTTAGGGAAGGCAGGGCTAATCTAATATGCCGAGGGAGCCCATTCCAGAGGACTGGCATTGCTACCAAAAAGGAGCTCCTTTGTGGCTCATTCCCCCACACCTCCCAACATGGGGTATCATCAGTTGCTTTTCCCAGTAAGAACCAATACATTAGACCAGTTTTAGTGGGTAATACCATCCTGAAAATAACTTGGTTCCAAGCCATAAACAACTTTATAAATTAGAACACCAGTATATTAAATTGCACCTGGACATCTACAGAGAGTCAGTGCAGGCCCATACAATGGGTATAATATGCTTTGCCCGATGAATATCAGATAATGCACAGGCCATTGCAACTGTGATTAACTGAAACTTCCAGATGGTGACTAAATAATGGTATTTAGAGTTACTGCAATAGTCTTAACTGGGGACGAGGACAGGAGTCACTACTAGCCAGATTTTCTCATACTTGGTATGGTCACAACCAGCATACCAGATGAAGCTAAAGAAAGCACCCACTTCTGATCTAATGTTACTAAGAAGGTTGCCCAAGTCATGGGTCTGTTCCTTCAGAATTAGTACTTTTCCATCAAGAGTCACCACTGGAACCATCTGAGCATCCTGATGAACAAACTCTGTCTTGCTAGGATTCAGTTTAAGGTTGTTCTGTCCCATCCAGAACTTCAGAATCTCCAGACCACAGGACAGTACAGACTAGAGATGAATATCATCACTTGAATGGATAGATAACCTCACCCAGTGATTTCTTGGAGATACTGAACAATAGTGTGGAGACGACCGATCTCAGTGGCTCCCCACAAGGGAACAGCCACCCAGAATCACTGTAAAAAAGTGTCCCCAGTCCCCAACCCTTGAAGATGCTCCAGAAAGATACCACAATTGATGGTACTGAAAGCTGCAGAAATATTTGATAGGCTCAAAGCACATGCATTAACCCTATTCAGATCCCAGTAGGGCTCATCTCTTACCGTGCCTTGGCTTAAGTAATAACCAATATCTTCAAGTAAGCCAGAAACAATGCAACTCACAGAGCACAGTGTTACATAAACCTACCAAAGCATGTCCATCATTGCCTATGCTTCTGCTTTCTGGATCAGCTGAAACTTCAGATGATCTTTGAGGGCAGTCCTGTGTGGAATGTATTGTAGTAATCAGACCATGAGCTGATCAGGGCATGAGTGACTTATCTGAAAGGCAGATACATATAAGCATATTATGCTATACACTTAAGTTGTGAAATCTTTTGATTTGTGTTCTCATGTTGTTGAAATACAATCTGATCATAATTTTTTGTTAATGGTTTGTTTCTTTTTTGGCTTAGCCTAAATCAGATGTGTCCAACCCGCAGCCCACATGGGCCACATGTGTTCCTAGACAGCTTGTAATGCGGCCCTATAAGTTATAATAAAAAATATTAAAAATAAAGGAAGTTTGTTATTTTAAATCCATGAACTAAATTATATATTTTATATGTGGCACAAGACAATTCCTCTTCATTCCTCTTCATTCATTGTGGCCCAGGCAAGTCAAAAGGTTGGATAGCCATGTCTTAAATGATCCCTCCCTTTATAGCTTACTGTTTTGTGAGACCACTCTGAATTGTTCAGTAAACTATAGTTAAAAACCCTGGCTTAGTGATATACGTGAAGCAAAGCACAGAGTCAGTATATTTACAAATGTTGTCCGTACTACATTAGGAATCCTCCCCTCTTTGGTTGCTCTGTTGCTAATTTTAGTCTCTTTCATTCCAAATAGGACAGCAGTTGATGTGAGTAAGAAGATAGCTTGTATAGACAGCAGGCGAATGGAAAAGGTGGCTGTTTCTGAGCACTTACGGGTGAGAAAACCAGATAGGCTAATTAATGAAATACAGGTAGTCCTTAACTTACAGCAGTTCATTTAATGACCGTTCAAAGTTACAATGGCACTGGAAAAAGTGATTTATGACTGTTTTTCACACCATTGCAGCATCGCCATGGTCACAGAGTCTTGGACTTCAAGAGAGCTAATTTCAATAAACTTAGAGGGAGCTTGGGAAGGATTCCATGGATGAGAATCCTCAAGGGGAAAACAACTCAAGAAGCTTGGGAAACTTTAAAAAATGAGATAATAAAAGCACAGTCTAGCACAATACCAACAAAGAGGAAAAACAACAGCTCTCAAAAGAAACCAGCATGGCTGCATAAAGAACTCTCTGACAAATTGAAAAAGGACAAGTATAGAAAGTGGAAAGAGGGGAACATATCTAAGTCAGAATATTAGCAAATAGCCCGAGCCTGCAAAGATGAAGTGAAGAAAGCCAAGGCTCAAAATGAACTAAGGCTTGCGACCAAAGTCAAAAATAACAAAAAAAGCTTCTTTCAACATGTAAAAAACAAGAAAAAAGTGAAGGAAATGATTGGTCCATTAGTGGGTGGAAGTGGCAAGAAGGTGACAAGCAACAGGGAGAAAGCAGAACTATTTAACTTGTTTTTTGCATCTGTCTTTACACAAAGGGAAAAAACAGACCAACCTATCAAAAATAGTGCCATAAAAAACAAAATAGAAATACAAGTTAAGATAGGCAAGAAAATGGTAAGTGAGCACCTGTCCAGCCTAGATGAGTTCAAATCGCCAGGACCAGATGGATTACATCCCAGAGTTCTCAAGGAACTGGCAGATGTGATATCGGAGCCACTGAACTATATTTTTCAAAGATCCTGGAACACAGGGGAACTACCAGAGGACTGGAAAAGAGCTGATGTAGTTCCCATCCTCAAAAAAGGAAAAAAAATGGATCCAGGAAATTACAGACCTATCAGCCTGACCTCAATACCTGGGAAGATCCTGGAAAAGATAATCAAACAACGAATCAACGAACACCTAGAGGCAAACAAAGTCATTACTAAAAGCCAACATGGGTTTGTCAAAAATAGATCATGCCAGACAAATCTTATTGCATTCTTTGACCAAGTGACAAAATTAGTGGATCAGAGGAATGCTGTGGACATAATTTACTTGGACTTCAGTAAGGCATTTGATAAAGTAGATCACAACCTACTACTTGATAAGATAGAAAAATGTGGGGTAGACAGAATCACCACCAGATGGATCCGTAGCTGGCTGACCGGCAGTACTCAGCGAGTGGTCCTCAATGAAACTGCATCTATATGGAGGGAAGTGTGTAGTGGGGTGCCCCAGGGCTCTGTTCTGGGCCCAGTACTCTTCAACATCTTCATCAACAATTTGGATGAAGGGATATATGGGGAACTCATCAAATTTGCAGATGACACCAAGCTGGCAGGAATAGCCAACACTCCAGAAGACAGGCTTAAGATACAGAAGGATCTGGACAGACTTGAGCACTGGGCACTAACTAACAAAATGAAATTCAATGGTGAAAAAAGCAAGGTTCTACATTTAGGCAAGAAAAACCAAATGCACAAGTACAGCATAGGTGGCACCATGCTCAATAGTAGTAACTGTGAGAGGGACCTCGGAGTCCTAGTAGACAATCACCTAAATATGAGCCAGCAGTGTGCTGCAGCAGCCAAAAAGGCCAACACAATGCTAGGCTGCATTAACAGAGGGATAGAATCAAGATCATGTGAAGTATTAATACCACTCTTCGATGCCTTGGTAAGGCCACACTTGGAATACTGCATCCAGTTTTGTAAAAAAGATATTGAGACTCTAGAAAGAGTACAGAGAAGAGCAACAAAGATGATTAGGGGACTGGAGACTAAAACATATAAGGAACGATTGCTGGAATTGGGTATGTCTAGTTTAACGAAGAGAAGGACAAGGGGGGACATGATAGCAGTGTTCCAATATCTCAGGGGCTGCCATAAAGAAGAGGGAATCAAGCTATTTTCCAAAGCACCTGAAGGCAGGACAAGAAGCAACGGGTGGAAACTAATCAAGGAGAGAAGCAACCTAGAACTAAGGAGAAACTTCCTGACAGTGAGAACAATTAATCAGTGGAACAGCCTGCCTCCAGAAGCAGTAAATGCTCCAACACTGGAAGTTTTTAAGAAGAGACTGGACAGCCATTTGTCCGAAATGGTGTAGGGTTTCCTGCCTGAGCAGGGGGTTGGACTAGATGACCTCCAAGGTCCCTTCCAACTTTACTACTATTACTATTACCTGGCGGATGCCTGGCAACTGATTCATATTTATAACGGTTGCAATGTCCCGGGGTCATGTGATCGCCTATTGCGACCTTTTGACAAGCAAAGTCAATGGGGAAACCAGATTCACTTAACAACCATTTTACTAATTTAACAACTGCAGTGATTCATTTAACAACTGCAGCAAGAAAGGTCTTAAAATGGGGCAAAATTCACTTGACAAATGTCTTGCTTAGCAACAGAAATTTTGGGCTCAATTGTGGTCGTAAGTGGAGGACTACCTGCATCTTTATTATATAAAGTTTTAATTGGAATGACCTTCTCATATTGGTAATGAGAGCTATTTAAGGTGTTAGTGTATCCTAGTTGAACTGGTTAATGCCTTGTTTGAATAGAACAATTTCTTTCCTTTATCCACATATCTACCACACATTCAGTAATAAAAGCACATGGCCTAAAAAATAAATATTTTGTACTACTAATATAATTATTTCTAACCATCACAGAAAAACTACAAAACTGCAGCAGTTTTTTTAATTGGTAGCAGTGGTGGGATTCAAATTTGTGAACAACCTGTTCTCTGTGTGGATGCTGCTTCTGGAAGTCCATTCTGGGCCTGGGCAACAAAAAATTAGCTACCGGTTCTGGCGAAGTGGTGCAAACCGGATGAATCCCACCACTGATTGGTAGTATTTCCAAAGGTCATATGAAATACATTTTGCCAATTTCCTGAATAGTAACAGGAGTGGATGAGTTCTTTGTCAAAATATCCTGAGAAGGCGGTACTTTGAGATTTATTTATCAAAGTATTATCAAAGTATAATCTGTCTTATCATTACAAAACTGGTAGGGTTTTTTTTTCAGATAGCCTCTTCTCATTGGACTTGATTTGTAATAACACATTGTTAGTTCTTTGTTTTCAGTCTTTGCATATTTGCAATGGATAAACAGCTTTTCTTCCAGTAGTTCTGCAGCTGCTGGTCCTGATTGCTCAGTCAGCAATCCTGAGTACTATAACCCATTTGTCATCAGACATGCAGGAACTCTAATAGTCCTTGTTGACCCAGGTGACAAGCTATCCAGTATGGGCTTCTGTAAATTACATCTCAGCAGATTGTTTATGGGAGAAACAGTCTTTATCCAGCTCATGTGATGAGACCTGTCCAATATAAGTTGAATCTCTGACATAACTTTCATCTTCCTCAGAGCACAAAAGTCCCACAACCAAATCAAAGTAGCCCCACAACCTCTTCACAGTAGTGCCTAACTATTATTATTACATCTTGCATGCCACCGGGTCCTTACCCCTGGTTTACGTTTTGCAGTCTCAAATGTAACTATAGCAAATTATTTAATAAGAGTTATTTAGCAATGCAAGTTTGTATATATCCTAGGATGGTACTTTAAATCTTTCAGAAAAATCTGTCATTTCTCCTTCCCCTAATTCAATCTAACAATCAGTGTGAAATAATTCCTGTCTCTTGTGCACTCTAACAAAACCATTTACTTTCAGAAACTTTATGTATATATGAAAGAGATGTTTTATTTTCTTGTTTGCACTGACATTATGTCTTTTTCTTTGTTTTCTACAATTCAGAGGAAAATGGCTAAGGGGGAAGATACCAATGAACTCCAACTTATTAAGAACTTTGAACAATGGTTGCAAAGAGAAAACAACAAACTATCCAAAATTCTTGCCTTGAATCCATCAAACAGTGAAGAGGTCAAGGCAAGATATAGCAAGCTAAAGGTTTGTTCAACTCTAGCATTCCAGATTAACCTTGCATTTTGGTACCATGTTGTTAAATATGTTTATGAATTCAGTTTTGACTATTGGACTAGTTAGAAGTATATTTTCACAGTTCTGTACAGGAGTTTTTTCTATTTCTTCTTAAAGATGCCAAAACTGAACTTAGGCTCTTCTGCAAGCAAATTTCAGTAGCCTCCTTAGAAACTCTGATTAGTGAAACTTCCAAACCTCAGTGTAGGTTGGGGGTGGGGAGGAGATCTTGAAGCCAATTGCTCCTGAGCTTTAACTTCCAGTCATATAAGTAGAGTTGCTAAAGTATAGTTTAGTGACAATCAGAAAAACAAGTTCCCCATCTCTGATTTAAGACTTTAAAGATCAAAACAATATTTTCAAATTTCCTAGAAACAATTGGAGACAATAAGGTAATTCCAAGAATTGTGTGAAATGGTCTATTTGTTGGAGTTTTTTGTTGCTGTCTGAGCTCGGCTGTTTGCTTGCAGATGTTTCATTATCAACTGGTTATCATCATCAGTGTGAGTGAGTGTTGGGTTTGCTCTCTGTTTATATCGCCTTGTTCTGCTTGCGTTGGTGGGAGTGTGATTTTCTCCTTGGTTGTTGCTTGATTAGAATTATTTTCTGCTTCATTGTTTGTCTGGGATTAATCCTTGTTTATCTGGGTGTTGGCTGCTAATGATGATGTGTTCTGGTCTTTTTTTTCATTCTTAGATTTTTATTGGATCCTTTGAATAGTTGTAAATTTTGTTTATATGTATCTATTGATGGGTGAATTGATGGCAATAAAATGCATTGTTGGGGAGAAAAACAAATTGTGGCTATAGGCAAGCACATAATTATAATCCAAATAGACCAATGAATCTGTGATCCGAATTTTCCTTTGTCAAAATGGCATAACTTGTGAACAACATAAAGCGGACATGACTCATTCATAGATCTCATCCCCTGATCAACACAGATCCAAGAGTACCTCAAAGTCTATATTTTAAAGTAATTGAAAGTCTGATAAATACTAAACATGAAGTACCAAGCCAGGGAATGACATTGTATTATATGTTTATGCTTTAACATATTTGTGAAATTGATAATCCTGTTACAAATTTTTCTGTTTGAAAATACTTCGGAAATTCCTCCAATATGTGCTGCTACTGGAAGCTATCTGTCAGCTGCCACTTTATGTTTGCTTACACTTCACTGATATGCAGTGAGGGTCTGCCATGAACTATGGAGAAGGCGGACAAAGGGGGGGCATGCTTGGGAAATTGAAAGTAGATGCTATACCATGGAGAAGCTGCTTCAAGGTCACCCAGATGGAAGAAGGAGGGAGTGGCATACCAGAGCACAACTGAACTATTAAGAAAACAGCTTGCAAGAATTTAATTGGTACCCTTGATGTAGGAAATGAAAGTTAAGGAGGGGAAAGTATAACACAGCTATTTTGGCACACAAATCTCAGTTCTGGCTATGTGTTACTGCAATATGCTTGATCTCTAATAAAAATATACCTTTCTCAGCAAATAGAGCCAAGAATTATTTTCTAATTAGAAGTTTAAGTTTGTGGCACATCTGACACTATCCATAAGTACGTATATCATTTTTAAAGTTGGCAGAGCTCTATTCATTCCCTCTATCAAGCTTTTCAAGTTGATACCTCTTTTCCCTCTAGGAGCTTCAGCTTAGAGTCCCTGAAGGTCAATATCATTTTGAAGAACTTCTTCATCTTCAACCAGCTGGCCAGAACTGGGATGAACTAGAGGAGTTGCGTTACCAATGGATGCTCTACAAGTCCAAACTGAAGGACTCCAATAACACATTGGTAAGTCTTAACATCTGGGGGCAGTTAGAAGCAGTGTGATTATGAATTTCTTCAGATTATTCTGTACATTCTTAAATTTTATTTTAAAATTATTCTATACCCTGCCTCCTGCCCAACTATGTTTAATATAAATCTGGTCAGTCCAGCCAAAAATTGTCTAGGATCAAATATTACAGAAAATACAAAACAGTTCATCTCATAGTGATTATGGAAAATCCTTAGCAGCTTTAAAATAGCGAAACAGCAAATAGCTTTTTTATGAAAAAAATCTACCATGTTTCTTCCCCCCAAAAATTTACTCTTATTTTGATTGTTTAATGTTATGAATACACATTAGATAGCTGCCATTAAAGACAGTAGTATCTATACTTTCCAGTGGAAGGGTGGAAAATTCATGTCCCTCCAATAGTTGTTAATACTGTAGCACTCAGTGGTTCCAGCCGGCATGGGCAGTTGTGAAAAATATTAATTTGCAACACCTGGAGGGACACATGATTGAATATGATTTGTGTAACATTTCTACGTTAGTATACTAAATTTATTTCATTGGCTTTTCCTTGTAAAACTAGAGAAATTCTGGCATGTTACTATGTCTTGTTATTTTATACATGTCATTTGGAAAGAGAGGAAAAAGAGATGCCGAGTATATATTCTATGGGACTTTTATTTAGTGTTCTCAGACTCAGCACCATTCAGCTTTTCGGAATTCTAAACTTGGATTTCTCAGCCAGTTTTGCCTTTGGCTAGTCTGGTTCTAATCTTTGCTTTCTGATATTTAGAAAGTAGAACTTATTTTATTAGATGCAGAGTATTTTGTTCTTCTCAATACCCACATGTTTGAATTAAACGTATTTTAAAAATGGAAAAAATGTGCCTAATAAGATAATACCAAGAAAAGTTAATGTGTTTAATGTTTTATGGGTGTATATTTTTTTATCCATCTATCCTCCTGCAAAGTAAGATCATATCAGTAGGGGTCAGTAATAGCTAAGTTTTTTCTGCCTTAAGCTGATATCTGATTTAAATTGTTAAGAAACTAAACGATTTAGAATTTAAATGGTATGTACTATAAAACTCATTAGATAAAAATTGCCTGCTCTTCTAAGTTGTCCGAATGAAGACAGTTTTTCAAACAGTATTCAACGCTGTGTTGCACTTTAAATAGGAACATTCTTTATTAATGCTTTAAAATTGTATCTTTTTAAACAGATGACAAGCTATTTCAAAGAACCAAACCTATTCAGAAAGGTAAGGCTGTTTTTGTCCACAAGAAAAAAGTAGGAGGGATGTGTATGTGTATATACATACATACATATACATATCCTTTAGTGACTCGTGAAGTAAAATTATTGTGTTATGGAGAATATAATTGTGGAATTATTTCTTTAAAACCATCAGTTAGATGGCCATTATCTTTTGGTTTAGGTAATTACAGGTAATACAAATATTTCTTGATCAATGTTTCCAAAGTTGAAAAAGAGAGATGTTCTTGATAAAGACAGAATAATAAGAGCTATGGGAGATGTTGGGGGTTTTTTTTGTTTTTTGTTTTTTGTTTTTTTGGTGTTTAAGTACATATAAACTGTAGTGCAAGTTTGGCTTTTCTTAGACAATAAGCCTTTATCTCTTTGTTCCCAAAAGTTTATGCTGTGGATAGAAGAGGAACTAAATTAGACTTCAACAGGCAGCTTGTCTGAAGAATTTCCAGATAAGCAGTCAATAACTACTAGTTCTCAGTAGACCAGCCATGTAATTCTAATACTTTAACCTTCATAATCTCCATCTTGGCTTGGATTCATTATCTCAATAACTTTATGTCCTGCTTCATCCTCTGTAATTTTGTGACCATGTGTAACCTGCTTTGTGGTAAATCATGTTATTTAGTAGTACCTAATCATTTGAAGAGTTTACAAACTGTCGGGTTAAGTAGGGAATTGACTGATGGGATAGTCGGTCCATGGGACCTTGCAGACTAGGCATTCCCAAGATGGTACTGTACTGTAGTTATAAAATTGAAGAGATCTGGAAGACATCACATTGAGAAAATTATTCAGACTGCTGCAATCTCTGATTAGTTAAGCCAGAGGCAGTCAAATTTGGGTCTGGTATTCATATTTGAAAGCATATTCTGGGTCTCTTACAAGTTAGTTATTACATGGGAAATGTTGTCTGAAATATTGCTAAAGTGGATGTGAATAGCTAACAATGCTGATGTAAGATATCCAAGGGCACATTGGTGCCCTTTTTCACTACACTGCCTATCTGTGTTGATTCAGACAGAGGTTCCTGTCTTTACTTTCACATAGTGTATCATGCTTTCATACTTTTGACTTTACACATAGGAACAGCAACATTGATCTTAATTATCCAGTCATAAGCTCTGGTCAAATATCACAGTGTCCAATTATATGCATTACATAACAAATTTTCCATATGGCAAAATCAAGTAGCTTCAGGTCATCTAAATCTACATTGTTAAGCATTGCAAAATATCCATGTGGAACTTTTCCTCTTCCTTTTACCACATTGCTTGTTTACCTTTAAATTTATACAACTATTCATATAGAGTACTCCCTTGAAATCCAAGGTAGTTTTTTTCTATTACCCTTCTTGATTTAGATATTTGGGGGGAAGGGATTCCTGATATAATTCTAGATGATAAAATTTCAAAGCCTTTTTAAAAGTTCTTCTTAGCTTCAGATAATTTCTGGGAGCAACTAAGGCAAGATAATTATGAGGGTGGTTTACAGAGCCCAAGATTCTAATTCAGCCATAGAAATCTACAAGGTGAATTTGGATTCCCTCTGAGTCCAACTACCCAAAGGGTTGTTTGATGCAGGGAAAATACAAGGAAGCAAATCCATATGTGGAATATGAATCTTTAAGTGTTGTGGAAAAAAATACAAGAAAGAAATGCAATAAATCTAGCAAGACATAAAAGGATTAGAGAGTATACATTCCCAGAATACATTGTTTTTGCAGGATTGCTGGCAACATTCCCAACATTCCCATTCAAGGATGATTTCTTTCACATTTGTGTTTAGAATCATAAAACGGATACATATAAGCCAAGGGGTTTTAGATGCTTTGCCCTTCAAATAACCTTTTACAAATTGACTTGCCATCTACTGAGAAATCATTAAGTATCTGCTGCAAAACCTCTATGTACTGTATCACAAAGGAACCAGGAAATATATATAGTCTAATTTTACTCATATTAAGATGAATGATCTAATCCTAATATTTCTGTTACCTTGTTCATTTGTTTGCGGGTAAGAGATCTTCCTGAGATTGAAAGTGACCCAAAAGTTATATGAAATCTGAAAAATGGAGAACATGAGTTGCAAAACCTGCAGTTTTGTATATATTATTGGTCATTTTTAGAAGTGAGTCCTAGAATTCCGCATGGCTTTTTCCTCAGTAAAGAGGCATCAGATTTCATTCTTAATCAAGGTACAAGGACTCAAGAAGGAATTATTTATTTCAACGTTTTAAACAAGCCATAGGTAATGTCAGGCCTTACATTCCTAGGGTGGATAAAAGCTTGCTTTATTTTATCCTGATTGGAAATATTGCCAGATATTGAGAGAAATATTTTTATGAAAAATGTACCAAAATAGAGGTTCAAGGAACACATCAAGGCAATATTTCATTATTGGTTGTAGGAAATATGCATTTTATTTGGATGTGTGGTTCTGACTGAGAAGCAATAGTTGAATCTGCCTATAATAACCAAGATTTTTTTAAAAAAATTAGAGATGGCCATATGCAATGCAGTCCTGTGCATGTTTAGTTAAAAATAATTTCCACTGAGCAAAGTTGTGTGTATAGACTGAAATCCTAAGAGAGGTTTGTACAATGCACCCATGTAAAATATAGTTGGGTAGTTTGTAAATCATTGGGTTGTGGCAATACAGCAATCCGAATGAGGATACATGGTTCAGATTAAAAATATACACTAATGTAATTTTGTCATAAACAAAAGTTTAAAAGATTAAAATGATAAATTGAAGATCCTGAATCCTGTGGCTTTTCCTTAATTTGACAAAGAGCAATAGTTCATTGGCTCCTTGCATTCTTCAGATCATTGTAAAAACAAATATAAAAATAATGAAGATAAATGTTTATTTCCTTGTTGTGGAAAATATTGCCAAAGTGTACTTAGCATCAATAAAAAAAATAAAAGATTGGGATTTATTGGGGTTCAAAAACTTGATTTGCTTTTCTTTGTACAGTGCACAATCTTACTGAAGTTCTTTGCTATACAAATAATTAAAATCTATTAAATTCACATTACCTAACTGGCTTTCTCTGAGATGCTACAGGATGTCATCTCACAGCATAAATTGAAAGGAAGGATATGCAATTTAATCTTATTTAGATGTTGTGTTATTACTGAAATTAGTCCAGCTGTCCAGGAGTAATATTAGCACAGCCCTTTTTATCCGACAGGCATTGAGTTCAGGTGTCCATTTTAAAAAACCCAGAAGTTATATGCAGAATGGCAAGAAATATAGTAGACATTGTCATACATTGAGAAAAGTTCCTAGAACCTGCTGCATTCAAAACAGAGACTTTGTCACTTAGCTGCAGGGTTTTGTTTTTTTTTTTCTCTTCTTGAAAATAAGAAATTCAGCAATGATGGGAAATCTGTGATCCCTCAAATATGTCTGAATAAAATTCTCTGCACCTTGTATCATTGGTCATGTTGGCTGGGATTGCAGGAATTGTAGTTTGGCAAAAGTAACAGAAGGTAGCACAGGGTACCTGTAGAACCACAACTGTAGCATTAGCATTTTTTTGCTACCTAAGGGACTGTATTAATTTCATAGGGGAATCAGTTAGCATATGTAGCTATTATACCACTTCATTATACAGTATGTCTTGTTGTATTAAATCTCACTGCATACTTAGTAACCCTCTGAGAGCAATTAACTGAGAAGCTCCTTTTCTTGGCATTTCAGTGAGCTTCATGCCAGTTTTGAAAGATGTTCTTTAACCACAAGAATTGTGTTGTGATATATATAGAGACACGAATTAAGGAAGGTTAATGAAAACCAGTCTTCCCCAGTCATTTTCCTTTGGAAGTACTGAATCTGTGATTTTTAGAATACACAGCTGGAATAGCTAGAAGATGGTAGCTGAATATTGTGAGAGTCGGTGTTCCCAGTGCTTCTGAAGAATGCTGGATGGAAGAGGCTGATGTAGACGACTCTAATGTAGGCAAATTAAAGGAATAACTAGGCATAAAGCAGCTTGTTGTAAACTTGAAAGTCCTTGTTATGCATGTAGTCCTCAACTCACAACTGTAATGGAGCGTGCAAATTGTGACATTCAAGCAAGGCACCGATGTGATTGCCTCACCTAATAACCCCAGTTCTTGTCTAGGGAGTTTGTGAATTCCAGATTGATTATAAAGTACAAAAGCAACATAGCGCTGTTCGAGAAGCAGGTGCCATTTCAGAGCAGCCAGAATTCATTGCAGACAGTCCCAAAATGGTTCTACTTCTGGGACAGTGCCACATAGTCTCAATGTAGGGAGACCACATGCCAAATTGGCTGCTTCCAAAGGAGATCTATGGAAAAGGTAAGTGACTGAGCCATAATGAGGGTGGCTCAGGCAGGAAACCCTATATCATTTCGGACAAATGGGTGTCCAGTCTCTTCTTAAAAACTTCCAGTGTTGGAGCATTTACTGCTTCTGGAGGCAGGTTGTTCCACTGATTAATTGTTCTAACTGTCAGTTAATTTCTCCTTAGTTCTAGGTTGCTTCTCTATTTTATTAGTTTCCACCCATTGCTTCTTGTCCTGCCTTCAGGCGCTTTGGAAAATAGCTTGACTCCCTCTTCTTTGTGGCAACCTCTGAGATATTGGAACACTGCTATCATGTCCCCCCTCATCCTTCTCTTCATTAAACTAGACATACTGTACCCAATTCCAGCAACCGTTCTTTATATGTTTTAGCCTCCAGTACCCTAATCATCTTTGTGGCTCTTCTCTGTATTCTTTCTAGAGTGTCAACATCTTATTTACATCATGGTGACCAAAACTGGATGCAGTATTCCAAGTGTGCCTTACCAAGGCATTATAAAGTGGTATTAACACTTCATGTGATCTTGATTCTATCCCTCTATTAATGCAACCTAGCACTGTGTTGGCTTTTTTGGCAGCTGCAGCACACGGCTGGCTCCTATTTAAGGGATTGCCCACTAGGATTCTGAGATTCCTCTCACAGTTGCTACTATTGA